TTAAAAGTATTACTCTCTACATCTTGAATTATAATCGTTATTTTATTTAAAATTTATTTTAAAATAATAATTATTTTTTTATATTGCAAAAGAAATAAATATTTTTTTGTACTTTAATTTTGTCATTATTGCTTCCCCTTAATTATCCATCTTATTGTCATTTAAATTATAATATTTTAAATTTTTTTAGTGGTAACTCAGGTAAAAAATAAAATTACCCCTAAATCCTTAATTTAGAAATAAAATCACAAAAACTTGTATTATTTTATAATCGAGGGAGTAATTATAAGGTAAGGTTTTAGAGAGATGCCATATGGAACCAACCTACGCTACCCCAACTTCAGGTAACTGGAAATTTCAAAACACTAAGCATCCAGAAGTTCAGTATGTACTTATTAAACATTGGATACCAGAAGCAAGCGTGACGAAACGAAAGACAAATTGTGAACAACATGGATCATGATGATCAAGCACGAAGCTCTTTCATGGTTAACTTCTTTAAAGATCGTATAAGAACTCTGTTTGGACAACAAGACTGACGATCCCAGCATTGAAAAGCAAACTACCCCAGAGGAATAGAGAAAATAGAAGTGAAGAGGCTTATCTCGAATTTGCGCAGGTACTGTTCTGCATCTTTCAGTCTGACTAAGTGTTGTATATTGACAACAGACAACAAACCCATCCCAGAGGAAAGGAAGACCAATACCAAGTGTCCTACTTCGTAACAGTTTCATTTCTTCTATTCACATGCCAATTTTGTGTCGAAGCTACTTAAGCAGATGGCAAAAGCCTGGAATGCAGAGAGAGGATATCGGTAATCCATGGTAAACATATCCTTGCCAACCTTACCAAACTGCAGAATAATCTTATCATGGTCAGATTGAGCTGGCTGTGAAGGTGTTGGGGCACCAGCAGGCTGGTTAGCAGCAATTAGTTGAAAATTCTTAACAGATGCTACAGTCACCCTCCCCCTAAAGTTAAGGCACCAACATTGCAACTGCTCATGCCATCTTGGTGGCTTGTTACGGAGTATCAATGGTCTCTCCTTCCCCTCATCCTCTTCATCACGGGTGCCAACAATATCAGAGAATCGGGAGCTGCTAAATTCAGTTGAATTATCAATTGACTTTGAGAAGGAGATGCTGCGGAATGAGTCCTCAAGGGATCGAGGCAGAAGCTCAGGCTGTCCTGGGACAATGCCGCCTGGCTCTAGAGATGAGGCAGGAATTGAGTGCATGGTGCAGTGCATCCTGCGAGGACCCCTAGTACCCAGCACATTTAGCTCATATGTGACCTGGGCAATGTTGTAGCTGCCTGTAGGGACTTTAGGAGAAACTTTCTTCGAATAGAATCTACGGCTTCGGCCAGGTGGCGAAAGATGAGCATTGTTGTATGGAGGCTGTGTGTCATATATCATGAACTTGGTGCCTAGAAAATTTGACCTGAAACATAGAAAACACATATTAATCAATGCTTTTAAAACTTCTAAGATTGGACAAAAATTTCCATATGGTTTTAAATTTAGGAATGGTGCATCAGATTTGGGTGTGGCAGGCAGCTGCTTTGAAACACCTCACATTATTGATGAGTAACTTGATAGCAACAAAAGTTGAACAAATATCATGCAGTCTTTATTAGGATCTAATTTTATTTCCTTTATTGATGTCCAAACTTGCAATGTGTTACAAACCATATGAAATAAAACAATAAACATCTTTATTCATACAGTAAATTATCTCTGCAACACAAATGAACTCATTTCATGGCAACACCAAGGATAATCTAAACCTGATTTCTAAGCAGACTGCGGTGTATGCTAAATATGGTACCAAAAACTAGGCATGTGCACCTCATCTGTCAAAGCAAGCAGATTGCACAGGGAAAGAATGAATAAAAGGGAAATGATCCAATATGCTATTTACAATGAATCATTGCAATAAAGAAACATCTGAAAATATAACTAATAAGCTAAAGGATGTTATTTAATGATTGTCACATCCTAGTGTATAGCATAATGAAGATGTTTAAAACTCTGTCCTTATGCTACAAATCACCAAAATATAGGATATAGTTTAGAGAAGTGTGAGAAAGAAACTGTGACTGCATATCACTAGTAGCCAATTTAGGAAGAAAGATGTCCTACCTGAGCTTGCCAATGTATGTGCTGCTTGATCTTGATATGTTATCTGCATCCATGGAGATTACATACTCCGTGCAAGTGGTTCTACGTGTCCGTTTTGCAGATAGAAGAAACTTCCCATTTTCAACAAGTAAAGCTGCAAAAAAAGAATAGGAATGGTTAAAATATATCCCTGATACCCAAAAGAATACTAATCAGCAAATAAAGTAATATTAATGCAGAAATGGCTGCACCAATAGTTAGACAATAAGATAGCACAGTGCTACTAACTTATTTATGAAAGAAATAATTAGACCAAAAAAATGTGCTAGCTGCAGCAAGTTACCACAAGGAAAACAAAAGAACAGAAATTTATTTACTACTTGAGGAAATTACACAAGAATTAGTAATTATGTCATACAATGCAATGCAGATGCATTTACAGAGCATATATGACTTAAGGACTGTTTTAAATTCTATGCAGACAAAGCAGCAGAAATCAATTCAATGCAGGTTGAAGTACCATATTTGTTATAAGCCTGAAATCCATACATAACGGTGATATGTTTGCATTTGGTTAACACAGTCTGGCAGCCGAAGGGACCAGCAGAAGAATTACTAAAACCCAATTTTAGCATAAAATTTAAAATGTCATGTTTGTCATGGAAATATTTGTCTAATGCCACTTGCCAGAGTATAACAACAAAAGCTCAAATTCCATTAAATAAAACTGGAGAAGTGATTCAAGACACATTGAGCTCACCCTCCACCAACATAAATGTTAGTCTACAAGACTCATTAGTTCTGTCAATGAGCACCTCAAACTCCAACAGAACAAGAAGAAGATACCACAGCAAGAAGATCATGCTTGAAAAATAGAATTTCCATGATAGGGATTAAAAGAGTAACTTACCAGGGCTAAGGCAAAGGAAAAGGTGATAGGTTAAATTAGATCTGTCTCTCTTAATGAAGCACTGCATGGGTCCATCCCTTGGCCCAGGCTGTAGTTGAAAAAAAAATAAATAAAAAGTCAGAATTTTGTTGGGCCCCACAGAAGCACTAGGTTCAGATGAAGAAGATACACTGTCACACCTGCTTAGAAGATACACTAGCATACATGTGTTTAGACTAAAACAAGATGATCTTACAGATCAAGGGGCCTATTAAGTGTATTAAGTCAGTTTATTAAGTAATTATCCGCAAAACTACCTCACCTGCTTTAGGGAAACAGGAAATGTGATTCTTCCAGAGAACTCGGGACTTTTGACAATTTCTTTGCACATTTCCCTCCATGACCTGCACACTCCTGCACATGCAACCACATTCTTGCGAGCAGGCCACATATTCTCACTTGCCTCCAATCTCTTGATAACATCCCGTAGCAGCTCAGGTGGAAGGCTAGCCCAACAACTATTCTGGATTACCAATGGCTGATCATGCAATTCAAGCACTAAACCTTGAGATTTTCCTCTGTGATGACCAGGCAGCATCACCTCAAAACTACGCCTGGATAAGCTCCCAATTGCATCCCGCACATCATTGACTATGCTTCTGAATGACATTTTACTCCAATACCCTTACAGCCTCAAAAATTTAATATATCTTCCAAAACAGTTGATAACATATATTATTCCCCACTTTGGTGAACTGGAGATCACAGATCAGAACAAGCACACATGACTGCAGATCAAGCAAAAGCTTAATTTAAACTAATAAGTTCAATATTTAATATTCAAGAAATAAAAGAGAAAGAAGACAGATACAGAAAAGCACAAAGCAAGTAAAGAAGATTCTCATAAAAGAAAAACCTCACATGGACCAAAAGCACATTCAGTACCAGACTTTCATCAGAAACATCTTTTAGAGGGTTTTAAATTTTTAAACCTATGATCTCAAAAACCCAAGATACCATTAATTCAAATCTAGCTCCTAATGCCTGTATGCTGGAAGCTCTTATTTGAGAAAAAGAATCTAAAAACAAAAGCAAAAGGATAAATTGCCAGTTTCCTAAATACTGTATATAACCTCAAAGCAAAAAAATTACAACCTGGTCAAACTTCAATGGAAAATTTCCTAACCCTACAAGGGTAAAAACCAGTAAAACCTATATCAGCTTGATTCCCATTTCCTTTTTAACCGAACAAGGATAATTGTAAAACATATATCAAGTGTATAATAGATTTCCATTTTGCTTTTTAACCAATTTATTATGCTTTATCCCAAAATTCATGCCTTGAGGCTGATACCTACGCCCTACCCCCACCCTCTACTTTCTTTACGTCTATTGAGATTGAAACAAAAAAGAAAGAAAAAAAAAAAAATGGAAAGCCTTCCCATTTCAGTTTAAAATCTAACCTTGGCGTCACAAACAGCAACGAGATTCAGCTCAACAGTGTTCAATGATCCATTATTGAAAAAAAAAAAAAAAATCTTCTTCCGGCAAACAACAGAGCTTTCCACCAAAAATTCTGCAAATAGAAAACACAAGCTATAACATCAGAAACAGAACGAAAATCAAATCCGACAAAATTTTCCCAAATTATCTGAAAAAACTACAACAAATTCCAGAGCTCGTTTCAGTCTTACAAATTAAGTTCACAAAAGAAGAGTAAAAAAAAAAAAAGATCAAAATGTACTGTTCTTATACAAACATGAGAAAACGTAAATCTGCTGAAGTAAAAATGCAAGGTAGATGGCAATCAAGGAGAAAGAGAACTTGAAAACCGCACACAGGAACTTCTAGATGTAGAATGAGAAAAGCACAAAATTTACCAATCAGAGAAGCAAAACTTCCAGACAGAAACACTCTTTCCCGAGAAACAAACAGAAAGAGATCTACAGATGCGCAGAAAAGGGATCAAAAGGAAGAAGAAACTCCCTCACCAGCATGCTCTCTCCCCACGTTTGTCAGATCCTTTGCTTTTACCATCACACGCTCTTTCTCTCTCTAGACAGTCACCACACTTTCTCTCTCTAGACACTCACCACACTTTCTCTCTCTAAATTTCTAGCTCCGAGGCCGCGGACGCCAAATCTTATTAAATGTGGTTCAGCAAACATTACAATTAAAAAAAAAAAACAAATATCTTTTTTGGTGAAATAAAAAAAAAAAAAAACCAACAAATATCTGCAGTTCACAGTTCACACCATATAATTAATTAGTTAACCTACTACTGAGTTAAGTCTTATTAATTATTTATGTGTATTTATTATTATTTTTTAATTTTAATTACATAATAAATAATTTTTTTTTTATTTTTCCTATGATTTAAATTTAAAATTTTTTACTTTCAACAACAGAAAATAACTATTATATTATTTAAATTTTTTACTATTTATATGTATTTATAAATAATTTATTGTAAATTTTTATAATTAAATTTAATTAAAATAAAATATAAAATATTTAATTAAGCAACTAAAATCCAACATGAATCAAGTAAATTTTTTCTTTTTTTTGAACTAGGGAAATTGTGGGAATGGATGGGAGAATGAAAAATAAAAAATTTGAACCACGGTGGTATAGGTAAAACTCGTACAGTGGCACACGAACCATGCATGGGGTTCGAATCAAGTAAAATTTTTAATTATGTAGTTAAATTTAATATAAAAATTTATATAAAATTAATTATAAATATAATATTTAATAAGATTTAATTTATACTCTTAAAATAATTACATAAATTAAAAAATCTCATGATTTGTCCTTTTTCCATTCAATTTTAATAAGCTTAATTTTTTTCAATAAAGTAAAAAAAAATGTAATAATTGATATTTTCTCATTTTTTTAAAATAATTTTTTTATTTTAATTTTTTATATAACAATATTTGTTTTTTATATTTTGCTGGAGATAAAAATTTGCTTTTTACTTAACTTTATGATTATTTTTAAATTTTAATTATTTTATATTATCATAAAAATTTCTTTATTTTTATTTTTTAAAGATAAAATAAGTAATAATATAAATTGTGTCTAAATCTTTAATTTTAAAATTAAAGTAAAAAAAATTTTTATTATGCCAAGATGAAGAAAATAAAATTTTATATTTGTTTGTAATTAATTGTTATTTAAATAAATATTCTTATTTATTATATATTGTAATTATTATTTTAAAATAAGAGAAAAATAGGTAAGTACATTAAATGATTTATTAAAAATGAAAATAGACAATTAAATTTAAATATTTAGAATAAAATATTAATTTTACTAAAATTAAAAAAAAAGGTAAATGATAATAGAATATTTTAAATTATAAAATAAGATTACTTTTAAAAAATATTTTTTTCTTACCTATGTGCTTTTATATAAGTTAAAGAATATTTTTTATTATAAATATATATAAAAATTATAAAAATTGATATTAATTTAAGTATCAACATTAAGTAGATAAATTTAATTAAATAATTAATAAATTAAATATTAATTTTTATTTTTAATACAAATTTATAATAAAAATATGTATTTAATATATGTTTAACCTATATTTATAGAATACATATTGGACTATAGGTTGGACAAACGCTTTAAAAAATCAAGTATTTTGTATCTTTCAAATGAATAGAATTATTGTCACACCTTAAATAGTTAATACTACACATTTTAATATAATTATTTATTATACATTTCCATCATATTTTTTTTTCAAAAATTTATATTTTTTTATTTTTTAATAAATTAAAAAATATAATAATCAATTAAAATAAAAAAAATATAATATTAATAATTAAAAGTGTGACAACAACAACACTCCTTCCAAATTTTATGATCTACACTTCTAACCAACTACTCCAATTTTTCTAATTAGAGTTCTGATTGTAGTTAATTAAATGAATTATGAATGCCGCTTGAACAAGAAACAAGAGCGAAATTACGGTTCTGTACATGGCTGTTGACTTTTCCGTTCCGTAACTGCCGTTACATGACCCAAAATATCGGGTTAGGATACCGGATCGGGTCAGGTATCCGCTTTTCAAGCTTTTGCCTTTGCAGTTTGCACGGCCCTGCTTCCTCGTTGTTTGGTTTTCAAGTGTTTTAATTATTTAATATTATTTATATTTTATAAGTTTAAATTTTTTTTAATTTATATTTTTAATTTTTTTTAATTTTAAAAAGATATTAAATATTAAAGATTTAAAAATTTTAAATATTTATTTTTTATAATCTTTATTTATTTATTTTTTATTCACTTTTTTATATTTAAAAATAACTTTAAAATTTTTTTTTAATAAAATTTAAATTTATCATTTATAAATAATACAAAAAAATAAAAATTATTTCAAATTAACCCAAACATCGTGTTAGAAGACATGGGCCGCCTACATGACAGTGATGAATTTTGAGAATTACTACCATTTCATCTTTTCTATGGTAGATTTACAGTAAACCCCCTTAAATTTTATGCCAACAATACTGTAATTCAGATTTTAAAACAGCTGACAGTAATGATTAACCTGTATGTATAAGTAGGTAAATTCTACTAGTTATCAAGGGAGTCCCTTTTGTATGAGGTCAAAGCAATCCTGTCGACTTTTTTTGAACATTTTGTTATGGGGTCGGTTCAAAACGTTGCCCTGGGAAAGGGGAACATGAATCTTACAAGCGCGGTTAGAGTCACTTGGGCTGAAGAGTCAGGTTCAATCCTGTCGACTTGATACTTTATAACAATTTGAAAATGATATAATTATAATATTATATAATATTATAAATTTATAATATAATATATTATTATATAATTAATTTTTTTTATTTAAAAATTTATTTATGATATTATATATATATTTATTTAATAATATATCACACTCATTTAATTATATATCATAACTATAAACTTATAATTTTATATAGTATTATAACTAAAATATTATTTAGAACAATTTAATTCAATTTTGAAGACAGTTGACAATTTTTTTTTCTATAAAAGAAATTTTATTAATCAAGAGTTAATATTTTGCGTAAAAACTTTTCTAAATTAATTAAAAACTATATATACTTAGTGTTGATTACTAAGGTAGTGGTTCTCCACCTTGCTTTTTTTTTTTAAAGGGGTAGAGATTAGAGAGAGAAGTTCTCCTTAATTTAAATACCTAACCTGTAAACGGTGCACTTCCTATGGATAAGAAGCAAGGTAACTATCCATTTTTATGAGTGTGTTGTTCTCAATCTTATTTAATAAAGGTTTAATATTAAAATATTTAATTGAGTGTCAGATTTATGCCTTTTATATTTTCTTTCAATGCTAATAGACTTTTCTAAGTGCTATTTCAGACATTTGATTGGTATTTGAGCACTATCCAATGCTCTTTGGTGACGAAAGGGACAAGAGGGAAAAAGGTAGGGAAAAGAGAGCGAAGAAGAGGAAGAATGAGAAAGAAAAAGAAAACATAGAGAAAAAATATGGAAAAAAAGAAGAAGCAGGGAAAGTGTTAATGACATTTTGCCTTTTCAAATGCAAATTTAATGTTGTTCGTGACCTCTTCAGTGCATGTAGGATGCGTAGCAAAACTTAAATAAGGGGTTGAATGCACCTTTTCCATTAATTAGTCAAGGAGCAAAAGCGCCCGCCCCCAACTACAAGGTTAGAAAGTGCAATTTATCCTTTTCTTATTACCAATTAATCATTTATTTATTAGTTTTTTTTTTTTTAAATAAAGCCTGGTCTTTTTTTTTTGTTCATTGAAATCTTAGAGAAGTTCGTGATAAATAAAGTTCTCTTCTCTGTGGTCCGGTGCGGTTATCACCGCACGCCATAATATCAAGGGTACACAATATTTATTAATTTTTATTTGTTTTTCTTTCTCATCTTATCTACAATTTTTATACTAATAGTATTTTTCTCAAACTTTAGTTTTCACATTTATTTTTTACACACAATTCTTAAATGCTTACTTTTATATATGTGGTATATATGACTTATAATATAAATTTTTTTACCTTATATGTAATTTTTGTTGAATAATTTTATTTAATAAAAATTTTGTTTATAATTTATAGACAATATATAACCATCAATTTTTATTACACGCAAAAAAATCAATGTGACAATGAGGGGCGGAGCTAACATAGGACGCCGGGGCAGTCCCCTAAACTTTTGAAAAATGTTTAATTTAGTACATCAATTTTTAATTAGTACAAAATTTGTTTTTGATGTTTGAATTACAGGGACCTTTTGAATTTAAAAAAAATTTAGGAGTTAGGTAAAGGGACCATTTCTTTCTTTATAATCAGTTCTTAAGACAAATAATTTATTTGGATATGAAAAAAAATTTACATTAATTGTAATTTTTTGTATAATTTATATTCTATTAATTCAACAATTGAATTTGATATTCTAATTAAAAGTTCATTAATATTTGCAATCATATAAAAAAGAAATTATATTTTATATGAGATTAGTATTTATTTACTAAACTTACAAAAAAAAAAGGTGAAAAATACTTCAAAATTAGGATGTTCTAATAAAGTATCACAAAAAAATACTAATATATTCTTCATTCTTGCTCTAAAAATATGCTAATTTAATCTATTTATTTTAATTAGAGTTTATTTAGATAACATAGTTTTAAAATATTTTATTCATAATTTTTTTCAATCCAACTTATTAATATTTTTTCTTATTATTTTGTATTATTTGTTTAAGAGTATTGAATTGTATGTTATTAAAAAATAATTAAATATATTTAATTAATTTAAAGTTTGGCATATATGTTATAAGTAATACCTTTAACCATAAAGTTAATGATTAATATAAAAATTGGTATAATTTATTTTTGTATGTAAAAATTATGGATTAAACTCAAAATTTATAACTAATATTATGTTTGAATTATGAGAAATGGAAAGTGGAGGAAAAAAATTCCTCTTACTTTATTTTTTTTTTTTTATATAATTTAGTTACTTATTTAAATAAAGAAAAAGGAAGGGAAGGGGTGAAGAATAAAAAGGTAAGAGTATATATAACTCTACTAACAAACTACATAATTATTCGTTAAAATTGGAATATATATATATATATTTTTGGGACTAACATTTCGGTATTCGATAACTGTATTGGATTCTAATTAATCTGGAATCAAGCCGCGTCAGATCTCATTATGAAAAGGCTCTCCCAGCGCCTATTACTCCATTCAGGAGACTCAAATTCGAGACCTTACTTAAAGGAAACCAAGTCCTTTCAACTCGGACCAACATATCATTAGTGATATAAATTATTTTAACAAAAACTTATTATAACTCTAAAAACTTTTAAGATTTTATCCCCTTTAGCCAAAAGTCTGGCTCTGTCCCTAGTAGCAACCAAAATTGGCTGTAAGCAGTAATAGTTTTTACGATCCCATGAAAAAAAGTAATAGTTTTCACGAACAAACAAAGTCCAACCAATAATAAACTTTCTAAACAATTGCTCTGCCTTCTCTCTTCTCTTCTTTCAACTCGCCTTTCCTTTTAGGGTTTTTTTTTTTTTTTTGTTACTGTATAAGTTGGTCGTCATGAGTTGGGTTCTTTGTTTTGCATAGGTGTCGTTTTGTTGCTGCAGAAGAATTCCGTCTATCCTGGCAATATGGCAAAAGTCTGTTTAGTACTTAAACGATTAACTAGAGGAAAAGGGTAAGGTTAAACGTAATATTTTCACTCAAAAAGTTGTAAAAAATTACTCAAAAAATATGAATAAGGATAATGCACTACCCTTACTTGAGGATTGCCATTTCTACTCTATGGCACTAATTCCAGGAATCTGCTTTAATTTCTAGCATATTCTCTAGTATATTCGATTTTCTTTTCCTTGCAAGATAAGATAGCAGATTTGCAAGACCCAATTCATTCAGCGACAAATTAAGGCATCCATAGCCAAAACAAGAGGAAGATAGACTAAGGTATGAAATGTTTCGTTTAGATTAATTAGGAAAGAAAATAATCTCAAGAGTTGAAATCTATTGATAATCAAATCTTATCTTACATTATAAGTCAAGTTCAGGTTTTAAGTTCTTAAGATCAACGTTTAAGAAAATTAATTTTCTCAAATATAAATATAAATATAAATATATATATTGGATTAATGTGGGTAATATACTCTTAAAATTGTTTAAGAAGGGTTTAATTAGTGTCAAAGTATTCAAAAATTGATTTAAAGGCAATTTACCTGAAAATGAAAAAAAAAATTATGAAAGAAAATGTTTTACTTACATACTTTATTCAAGGACGAGACATCATTCTCCATCTTGTGATTAGATATATTCGATCTGGATATGTTTAATTAGAAGGATCCAACACAAGGTCACTTGAGGTCAATGTCCAATTGAATGGTGGCAACTTTGCCCAGGCAAGTTTGGTGTCCTTAGAATTCACATTTAGCCTCCTGCATGTATTTAACTTTACTTAATCAAATGTGACACTTGATATTTTTAATATTATTCTCATAATCAACGTGGAGTCTGAGTTCAGGAGGGGACCAAAAAGAATAATATAACTATATAAAGGAAAGGGTAGTTAAATTAGGTTGAGTACCAGACTCATGTATAGCTCCTTTATTCATTTATATTGATAATGATGACGACGGTGATGAAAAATTATGTTACTGCACCCACCTTTCTGATTTTGTATCCTACCTCCCTTTTAATTAGTAGCCCTACTTTTGTGCACTCCAGATTAAATTTATTTTTATAGTTTTCTCATCGAAAATAATATAATTATAATATATAACATTATAAATATATAATATAATATATTATTATATAATTAATTTTTTTATTTAAAGATTTATTCGTAATATTATATGTATTAATTTATTTAGTGACATATCATATTCTTTTAATGACATATTATGATTGTAAATTTATAATTTAACGTGGTTTTGTAATTAATTATAATATTATTGGCTAAAGGCAAGTAATTTATAATAAATTAATAAAAAATTATCTTATCATTGATCTTTTCAAATAATTGTATTTAAGAAATGTCTAAATAATTAAAAACTTGAGATTTTATATTAAATATTTTAATTTCGAATCTTGAAATGATGTTAAGAAGGACAAGATTTTTCTTTATGTCCATCATACTATATATTTAAAAAAAAAAAACAAAAACCTTTATGAACAATTAAATAAATAAATGAACTTATTTACTAATTTTTCTTTTTTAATACATTTGAATGGGTTATATAAGAGGAGATATTTTTTTCCATTCCTTAAATCCTTCTCCACCTTATTTAAGGTTTGAATTTGAGATCTTCGACTTGAAATCTCAAGTTTTTAATTATTGAGTTATCTTATTAAAATTAAACTTATTCGCTAACTTTAGATATCAAGAAAAGGATCTAAGTATTTAAATTTGGGCTTCAACTTTTACAGTACGAGATTTTTTTAGAATTGGGAAATTGTCTCTCAAATAATGAGTAGAAATTCATAGATTTTTCCCATTTTCACTGGATCCCGGATTGCATTCTAAACAGATATTAGAGGATAGGGGATAAAATGGTTTCTATATAAGATGTCAACACTCAAGAAAGCTTAGGGAAAAGGCTCCTTTGGCCCATTTTGCAGCACAAAAGGGGGAAGGGCCTCCACTTTCACCATGTTTAATCGTCCTAATTAAGTTGGGGGCTCGTGAGTTGCCGATCACCTGTATACTTGGTGGCAAACCAACCTCTGTGATAGTGATTGCTATTTCACCTCCCTCTCCTCCATTGAACAATTACCATTTTATATCGAAGAAGTTAATAGCTTATAATTATTTTTAATTAGACCCATGAAGTACATGAGGTAAGGAATGATGTTAATTATGTCAAAAACGTAAATTCAAATCTTCGTCAACTTGGATGTAGCTAAGGTTCTAGAGTAGTTTATAGACAGAGTGCAACTCATTACAATATAAACATTACAAAGTCTAAAAAGGATAAAACATAAGGGTGGTAATGGGGACACAGATAAAGGAAGAATAAACAAGGGGTCATAAATATGCCAAGTCTAGTTTTGGCTATCACTGTGAGAAATGGCATTCTTATCAATTTGCACAATCCCAGTCCCATCAGTCAGTGATGTGTAATGCACTCCAGAATGATCTCCTCTTTGGCATCTAGATTTTGTCCATTTGTTTCTACACTCATCTTTTCTTCTTTCTTCTTTCCCCACAACACACCATAGAGACCTGTGACCAGCAAAACTGCCCCACCAACGCTGCATAGTGCATGCAATAGATGGAGATTTAAAACACACCTTTGTTAGTTCTCCTGACTCATATATACAATAACTACAATTAACCAGTATATGTATTCATATGCGTATATGTGTATTTTTTTTTTAACATAAGAGTGTATAATTGTATGTGCATGCGTGCATGCACGCAGAGACTATAAAGTATTAGTATGGACCTTCCCCAACGAAGAGTTTCCTTCCAGAGAAATGCAGAGAAAATTGCTGTAACAATAAGTGATATGGGAGTGAAAATTGCAGTGAAAACTGGACCTTTCTTCTCTATTACCCATACTTGCAGCCAGTAAGTGATGCCAGTTACAATCAGACCCTGCCATGAACATCATAGTGTCAGATATCAATTACAAATGTAATTTCTAGTGTATTCTCTAATTTAACGTAAATATTCTGCTTCAATTTTTATGGCACTGGAAAGGTAAATTTAGTTTAGTTTGCGACATACTTTAAACTACTTTTAGCCAAACATGTAGGAAAGAATGAAAGATACATACACAATAAGCTACAGAGAGAAGATGAAGATCCCATCCAAGCTTCCATGCCGATGGATTCCTCTCTGCTACAATAGCCCAACAAGCAGATTGTATGCAGCTGAAGAAGCATTGAAGAGCAGTAAGGCGTATCTTTGCTGGGTATTGCTTCATAATTGGACCCTAAAATCAAACAAAAATACTGTCAAGAAATCAAAGGATCAAGAAAAGAAGTATGTGGAGACAAGATCAACCTGCATCACAAGCCAGAGAGACCAAGCAGTGTTGGCTGCAAGCATTGTAAGAGACCCTTTTATCCACTTTTCAATGGAGGATCCCTGCATTGATGGATCTGGACTTTGATTTTGAGTTTCAGGATACCAATTCATCAACTTTATGGGTGGACCTTTTACAAAAGCAAACACCAAGGCCCCAGAAACACTAATAACAGAACCTAGCACCTTGGCCATTCCATGTAGTTTTCTTATGGATACTCTTTCCAACCTGGAACACACAAAATTAACTATCAATTAATATGAAGAAATTAGTCAATTTTGTATTTTACTCTGTTGCTTCTTCTGTAAATTTATTTACCTAAAGAAAATAGCCAAGACAAAGGTAAGGACAGGAATTGTGTTGGTGGTAGCAGCAGCAAATGTTGCAGTGGTGTAGTTGATTGCAACATAGTAAAGATTTAAACTCAAGGTGAGCCTGAATTTTGCATGTATGAATGACTTAGAAACCCAACGATGCATTGGGAAATTGGAAGAAATGTATCATTTGAAATTGAATATTTTTTGAATTAAAAGCGAAGTTTCGTACCCACATAAGGAAACCAAGAAGATCCTGAACAGTAACTTGTATGACAGAGAAGGATTTTTACTGCAAAAATGTAAGAAACTGTAAGAGACACTTTGAGTCAATGAAAATAACAAATCTAAAGTTCTTTTAGGAATATGAGTATAACCTGTCAAAGAAGAAGGCGAATGGAGCTAAGGCAATAGTGGCAAATGCCTGCCGATATACTACAAACACAAAAGGGTTCATTCCTTTGGCAATTGCTGCTTTAGATAGCAAAGCCATGCCTGCATAGATTAACTGTACAAAGAGCATTGCAGCATAAGAACTATATTTCTCCATAACTTCTGCATTTCTAAGTATGCTGATCATGTTGCATGCGCTCTCTTTTGGATTCTCTACTTTGTGACTATTTTGCTAATAAAATATCTCAATTTATAGAGAAACAATAGCACTCAACGTAATCATTCATTGGTCACCTTTTAATTGCCTACAAGTCATGTCTCCCCCACCCTTGCAACTTGTTGTGGGGTTCAAATTCTAGACTACTAAATCATAGTGGCTCTGAGATCATGTTAAGAACTGATCAACCTGACAACAAAAATTGTTAAGTAAGATGTACTCAGTATATCCTCTAGTAGTTGTTTTATTCACTAATGCGCACGATAATAATTAAAGGTTTAACAACAAAGACATCTGAGCAATGATACAACAAATTAAGGCATGGGGGGCCACTAGAAGCTAGCACTTCTTTCTTTTCCCACAAACTCGAAGGTAGACGTATAATTGGCTAGTGAAACAGTAGAATCAAGACGTGGATTTCCAGGATATCTTTCATCAACAACATCCTTTTTCCAATTGAGCTAACTTTGTGTCTTTATCTTTCAGGTACAGAAGAAAAGCCTTGCCTAATAAAGAACATATCCCCTCCCATAAGGCTCCTCCCAAGATTTGCTTGGCGGTGAGGACTAAAAATCTAAGGGCACAAGGCTAAAGCTAAAAGGCACCAACAGGTATGGCATTATTTGGAGCACCATCTAGAATATCAATCAAAGCACAAATCATGAGACTGATGTCATTTTTCATACACTTAAATAAAACAGCTCTTAGCAATGACATACCATAACATTTTTCTAGGCGAAACCATTATCGACCTGATAAGATAAGAATGGTATTAGAGTAAGTAAGCATACATGTTACCATCTTGGTTCTAATATTGCCATTTATTCAGAGTAGAGTTTCTCTTTTTGAGGCAATGATAGGATGGAGGCGATCACATCATTAGTACTAAATACAAACCACTAAGAAAAGGTTGAGTGGATATGAACAAAGGTGAATAAACCAGCTCATCATCAAGGACTTCTGTAGTACAACATTGCAGACACAAAAAAATATGAATACGGTTTCTCTTTTACGTACTAGTTCAGTTTTAAAGGACCTTGCAGTGCCAAATTTAACTCAAATTCTCAGTTTAGGCCCTATGAATTACTCTGTATCTCCTAATTTTTGACTTTGTGCTCCATTTTTTATGCTTTTGATGGTCAGGATATATAGGGGTATGTCCTCTTCATAATGAATAGATTTTTGTGCATAACCAGCACTTGATATTACCGCACGTTTCAGGAATGAAAAAAAAAAAAGGCTTTTATGATTCTGTTGTGTCATAGCTATCTCATGTTATGTGACTAGTGTGAATGGTTTTGATGCATCTCTTAGTGTCCTATTCTTCAAAATGAGCATGTGCTCTAAATGCAAAGATGTGAAAGGGACTAGAGAGAAGATATCTTTAAAATGGAAGCAATTTTCCATGCCATTTTCCCAGAATTTGACATGTGCTTACAAGTTGAAAACTGTTGAATTAACACCAAAATGAGTGTTCCCCAGACAACAATGTAAACCCCACCAATAGGAGACATGTCGAGTTAGTACTACATGTTACAACTTTTTATTAGTTCTTGCCACTTTCTTTACTATTGCACTAGTATCAATATGTCTTTCTCGGGGACTCATAGCTAATGGATATAATTCTTCGTTAATTCCTTAATTTAGAGGTCGAATCGGGAAAATGAACTTAACATAATAAATGAAAGCTGATCTATGATACCACCTAATTGCTTTGAAAAAAATTGTATAGCAATGTATTGCACCGCACCACAATTGCAAAAGAAGCTAGCAAATCTATACAGAACCCAAGTAGATTGATTACAATGTTTGAGATTGCAGTGTGATGAAGATGAGATCTGAAAGGATATCCATTTTCACAAAAAGATACAAGCACGTTTTCTATTGCAATACTGTTATTAAGTTTCATGAGGTTCTTTACACAGCCCTACCACTACAGCATTGTCCTCGAAATTGACAATCAATAAAATTTTTGGATATGTACTTGACATTTCTGCTTATCTAAAGTCTTAAATCGATTCATTGTATCCAATATCCAAGCAATGATATACACAAAGGACTAATTTCTTGTTTCTTATCCTCATTATATCACTACAAGGGAAAGGGTTTTTTGTGATTAAAAATAGTTATTAATTTTTAGTTTCTCACCAATATCTTTTACATTTATATTTAATCCAAGATATTGGTTTTTGATACAAAACTTGCATTCAATCACAAAAGAATTACCACAATAAACAACATAAATTTGTGATAATCAAAATCATTATAGTAAAGCAATTATTAGTTATTGATAAAATATTAGTCGGAAATGATTAATTTTCATCATATATACCAAATTTACTTGTGACTAAATTTTTTTCATTTATTATAATTATATTTTGTGATGGTATATATAATTTGTCACAAAAGAAAACTATAAAAAGTAATGAACTTTTCTTTCATAGTTAGTCCACGATTGAACTTGAGAAATAAATAAATAAATAAATCTGTGGTAGTAATAATCATCACAAATTAATGAAAATTTTTTTATTAAAATATATATTTTCAAATAAATTAATTAAAAAAAGTGTCCTACTTACATTGTCATTCTTAAATAATTTTTTATTCCTTCACTACTACAAAAATTATGCCGAAGTAAGGCTCCTAACTCTACTGAATATTCTAATTACTGTATATTTATGAAATATTTAAACATTCTTCGGTGTAAACTCAAAGATGAAAACATGGGATCAAAGATTTGATGGTCCAACTCAAAGCAGCACCTGCAGGACTGGCATTGCTACCAAACAATATTTGATTCGGTGTCGAGCAGCAGGTAGGGTATCTGCCCAATTGTACCAACCTTAAGACCAAACCACACATAACTCATTTTTTCCATGTAGATGGTGGAGGACAATTCAAATTTCGTTTCTGTAACATTTGGCCCCAGTTTTTGGTGGAGGACATATTATAGTGAAGAATTTAACTATAAAAAAATTTGTAGCTGCTTGCAAAGTCGTGGATTGCCTTATTCCTATTTTTTTCCTTTTAATTAACCGTAACTTTGATGTTTGCATCTAATTTAGTGAGTTTTTTTTTTTTTTTTTGTTATTTGATAGATCTTTTATTTTTTTATTTGTACATAAGTAAATTGTATAGAATAAAAAAATCTCACATCACTTAAGAATAAAAAGTAAAGTTTACTAATATTCTATATTCTATATAAGTAAATATATAATCTTATATTACTTAAAAACAAAAACTATAACCTATTAATATTTCATAAAAAAAGTTTTAAAATACATTAAACGCATTATTTTAACTCATAAAGTATTGGTCTTGAGCCTAATAATTTTACTATAGGCCCTCAAACATTTTAGTTAGTAAGTATTATAATTATTTCAATTTGAATTAAATAATTATTGTATAGTATATATTTAAAACTAAAATAAAATAAATTTTTAAAAGTAATAATAGTAGTTAATTTTATATTAAATTATATTGAAAATTTTTAAAATTTTATTTTTAGAGATTGGGTTTTTTTAATTGAGGTAATATTATTAATAACTTAAAAATTTCATCACAAATAGTTTGTTTTTTAATGAAATATAGATGTTATAAATAAAATATTTTTTGTGTCTAATTATTTCAACATGCACAAAATTGTCACAAATAAGGTAATAATTGTATCTATTTTTTACATCATTAAAAATATTTTTTTTGTAACAATTGAAAAATTAATTACTATTAGTTTTAGTAACTCAATATTTATGACAAATAGTTCTTAATCAAATTTTAAACATTTTTTTAATTTGTGATAAAAAAATAAGAGTTTTTATGACTGATTTTACCATCACAAAAAATCATTTTTCTTGTAGTGTATAGAGATACCTAATACTTTTCTTTGTTAATCCCTTGAGTTGTGAACTCTGCTAGTTCCTTTAACGAGTGTTTTTTGAGCAAACTAAGAAGCAACAAGTCAAAAGAGCAAGGGAATTTGAAAGTTTGGTTGAAACCCTATTACAAATGTTCTAGAATTGGTCCCCCATTCTGATGGAGATATATGTGACACCATACTGATGTAAAAGTAAATGCAATTAGCATATAATTGCAATGATAAATTATTATTAATAATTTAAAATTAAACTCCACCAACGAACTCTAGATCCGAGTGGAAGAAGTTCAGTTCTTTTTTGATTCTCTTTGGGTTTCTTTTTTATTCTCCTTGGGTTTCTTTTTTATTCCTTTTAAGTAAAATTTCGAATTTGAATTTTATGAATAGAGAAATAAGTGTTGGGAGAGTTTTATTCTTAATATGGTTCACGCGATTTGATATTGAATTAGTTAGGATCCAATATGGCTACCAGATATTGAAAAGTTAATAAAAAAAAAATTTTAACTTAAAACTCTTATAAGTTAAGTTAGTAATAACATTTCGATATAAATACTTTAATTACCTCTTACAACTGAGAGCCATAAAGATTTGATGGGGACCCGAATACAGGGCTGTTTGCCCTGAAATCAGCTGTACAAATACCAAAGTTATGGTTAAAAAAAAAAATTCTAATCCAAAGCATTAAATGTCAGATTTTTCTGGGCGAAGCCCATCAGCTCATAAAGTTATGCTTAGAGCTGAAATTGGGCTTGTCCAAACTGGCTTAATAAATAATAACCATGAGATTGCCCTCATTCCTAGGCAGCTTTGGGACGGCCCTGATCAAAATTTATGCACACAAGTCTCGAGACCCAAATACCAAAAAACCAACATACACAGATGAAACGATAACTCATGTAATCAGAACAGAGAACAGGCAGCCTAAATTGGGTTGGATCCTTTAGTAAGGGTTGTTCCTATGGTTTCAAAATTTAAGTCTTGGGTGTACACTTAAAATTATTTTTAAAAAAATTTATTTAATTTGTATTTTTAATGTATAAATTAAAAGTATATTAAACATATATTTTTATTATAAATTTATATAAAAAATAAAATTTAATATTTAATTTATTAATTATTTAATTAAATTCA